CTTCAGACCAGTCGATGTTTTCTTGATGCCATGTGGGAATGGCGTCATATGATGCTTGCATAAGCACGTCACTCATAAGTGTTAGAACACCCACTTACATCAGTGATCCTTTTAATATATTCCTACTAGCAGGTACTTAGACTGTACAGTAGGATTTACTACCTATCATAGCCTACAGAGGTTTGCACATACCTATATGAACCTATAGGACCCACAGAGACTACATAAATATGACCAAATTACAGCAAAAAAAACATTTTCCTGATGTGCAGACGTGCGTGCAGCACAACTACCTAAAATCACCCACTCAGTTACTATATGAATGAAAGACGGCATTTATCCTAAAACCACAATAGATACAGACACCGGAATTCACCAGGGTTGAATGTGGTCTGTGCCAGGAGGTGATCACTTTGACCACCCTCAGTGCGCACAAATCCATAGGCATAATTCCAAGTGCAATGGCACTGCACTCAAGAAGTGACAAATTATGTCATATACTAGGTATGTGTCGGAGTATACTACCATTTTCTCTCAGTTGCAATTTTGTGTATAATAATTCCCTACTATTTTGTGCTCAGGCTGAGAACACAACACACATTTCACCCCTCCACTTTACCTGCACCACTCAAATATTTGTCCCATTTGCTAGCATTCTTATCCTTCCGACCACATCTTTGCGCTTTCATAAAAAGCCTTGCTGTGATTTGTTATCGCTGAGCCATTTGGAATGCACGTGCTCTCTCCCACGACCCAACTGTACCAGTGCATTTCATGGATTTCTCTGATGACAGCCCCCTGTGCATGACACTCCTACTAGTACTCAGTGCTCAGCCCTCAGTGTTCAGTATTTTAACATTCAACATTCAACCTCAACATATCAGGATTTGTCATTGGTCCAACTCCTCAATTTGATAAACCTGATGACCCTCTTTCCATAGGTGAGCTTTTACCATCAAGCTCAATTTAACATGAAGTCAGAATATTTACTCAATTCAAGATAGTACCCCCATATTATCTTCCAAGCCAAAAATTCAAGACTTTTACACAATTCAGAATACCGTTGATGTTGCCTGTTGCCGTATTGATGAAGACATTGTGAAAATGGAAGGGGCCATCCGAGAGCTCAAGTCTCGCCACAATAGTTTAGCTGGCATATCGTGTCTCCCCCCTGAAATGCTCTCCAAGATATTTGTTTGCTGCGCAGCCACTTATGAGCCCCCACAGCTCAATATGGATTGGGTTAGAGTCACCCATGTCTCATGCCATTGGCAAACAGTGGCTATCGGTTGCCCTCACTTATGGTCAACCCTTGTTTTTGTGTGACCAAAGTGGGTGGAAGAGATGTTGAAGAGGTCCAAAATGGCCCCTCTAGTCATTGATGCCTGGTTTGGATACATGTGCCCAAAATCAACTGAAGGCATTGGACTTGAACCACATTTCCCGTGTACAGGAGTTCAACATAGTTGCCCTGGGCACATGGTTTGGAAAACTTTTCTCAAGTGTCCCAAAAGCAGTGCCCATGCTTCAAACCCTTGTGCTGTCTACTTCAACAGTGCATTCTTTTCATCACAACTACTCCATTTCTCCAGAACTCTTCAGTGATGACTCCTCTCAGCTCCGACACCTTGAACTAATATGTTGCAATATCAATTGGACATCCCACCTTCTCAGAGGTCTTACACACCTAAAAATCCACGATACTGCTCCAGGAACTAGACCATCTACACCCCTTTTTCTGGATGTTCTAGAGCAACTTCCAACACTTACAGTACTCAACTTAAAGGACACTCTTCCCCATGTTGCTGATGGCTCTTTGACAGTGACATACAAATGCAAGGTTGAACTTTGCTCATTGGCAAAATTACATCTCTCAGGCTCTGATTATGACTGCTCTGATGTATTGAGGCATCTATCTGTGTCATCCACTGCCACCCTCAAGCTATATTGCCAAAGCACAGCAGTCTCTGATGCTGATTTCTCCAGTATCCTGACCTTTGTCAGTGGCTTCTGGGAACCAACAGCTATCATATTGAGTGCTGCAAAACCACCCATCTGCAGTCTCAAAATCATGGGCAATGATTCAATGGGCTTCAGTTTACAAGCCTGGTCTACCATGTTGTCATTTGAAAGATTATCTGATCTGCTGCCTATAGTGTTTGAAAGTCCAGTTCGGTCCGGTTTTTTGATGCCCAGAGGTGTTAACCGTAACCATAACCGGTCTGCCTTTTCCCCAGAAGTCAAAAGACCAGACCGGACTGCAAAAAGACTGCAGACCGCGGTTTTTTGCGGTCTATAGACCGGTTTCGGTTGGCATCAGTTTTAACCGGTTTATGACCGGTCTTTAGGCCAATATTTTAATATTATGAATCGGTAAATTTATTAACATCTCTAATAGCTTCAAAACGAGCCCAAGAACGTTAAATTCCGTTAGGAATTGGTGCTTCTATAAAATAAGTCTGGTACATCTATTATTCCCAAAAGTAATTTACATTTTAATTCATATCTCTCTCGTTTTTTTTACCAAATCGTACGTTTTTGGGTGCGTTTTAAAGGGTATTTAAGGGGCTACAAAAGACCGGTCCAAACCGGTCAAGACCAGTTCACGTTAACCGGTTTTTTTGCGGTCTTTTCATTTCAAAAATAAAAGACCGTAACTGCAGGTCCGGTCTTTTGCGGTCTTGGTCCGGTCTGGTTACGGTCTTTTTCCAGTCACAAGACTGGACTTCCAAACACTAGCTGCCTAGTGTTTAAAGGTTCAGTCCATAGGACTGCAAAAAGCTGGTGGACTGAACTGAACTGGACCATGGACCGGTCTTTTTTTCGGTTGCAGTTGCCCCAATTTGGGGTTGGTCCAGTTGCCGGTTGCCTCATTTCGAAAATCTTTTAAAACTGTTCAAAGGCCGGTTTTAATCGGTTGCAACCAGTTAAATGGTCACGTGCGTTACATACCCTTGTAACCACATTTATTACCTTTTATTGGGTTTTTGTTTCATCAAAAACAGTTAAGAATTGAGAAAGATATAACCAAATCCATATTTTACCCAAGTCTCTAGGAGATGTAATTCGGTTTCAGTCATAGCTATGTCAAATCTTCATTAAATCTCTTAAAAATTGGTAGAATGACGGGTATTTACATGCTTTACTATTTTATAGAACCTGTTTATTTTTCAGAGTAATAATAGTTGAGATACAAATGGTTTATATTGATATAATAAATTATACGCAAAAAAACCGGTCTGGATCGGTCTGAACCGGCTCCATAGACTGCAAAAGACCGGTCCTAGGTGGTTCGGTTCAGTTCCCTCAATATATTGGTCAGTCCTAGACTGGTTGCGGTCCACGGTTGCGTGTTTTGGGGACAAAAAACCGGACTGAACTGAACTTGCAAACACTGCTGCTGCCTTCCATTGATTTGGGTTTCCACTGGTCTTCAACCATTAGTATGCCCCGAATTTGGAACAAGGTAATTGGAGAGACTTGTGCTGCTTTACCTTTGGAGCAGCTCGCCTCATTGGACGTTTCTGCAAGCCAGATGACAGAACAAATGTGGTTGAGGAGGTTTGGGAAGCTTACACATCTTAGATCAATATGTGCACAAGGAATGGCCATACACATGCTTCTCTCAGCCATGATTGCTGAGCCTGGTATAACCACCAGTGCAAGTGTGCCTACAAATTCATTGACACAGAATCACTCATGCAATCAGAGAAAGATGCCACCCACAGTCTACTTTCCCTCCCTGCACCATCTTACAATTGAAGACACAAGTTTTGATATAGATTATGATCACGAATCAGCTGAGTTGGAGGGTTTGAAGGACTGCCTGATGGAACATAATGAGAGGAAGGCTGAAGTGCGCAAGCTGACGCTTTCTCAATGCCATCGTCTGACGGCAGAGCATGTTGACAAACTTGAAGAAATTGTTGTTGATGTGATGTGAGATGGGTTGGAGATAGGCTTCACAGACTCAGATGTCAGTGAAGATGATTATGGTGGATTCATGGGGGACTCAGATATCGATGATCATTATCACATTTATGATGGCTTTGATTGGGATGACTACTTCTCTTCTTTCCCTTTCTGAAGCCCTGTACTGGGCATAGAGTTTAAAATGGTCTTTCAGAGACTCAATTCAGGCTGAACATTGAACATTTGTACAATATTGAATGAACACCGCTGTCATTTACAAGTCCCATTGAAGTTCAAACAGACACTGCACACTGGCAAGTCCTGCTACATTTTGACCTCAACCTCCATCAGGCCTGGCAAATCAATTTGACTTGACACTCATGATACCAGCAAATGGTGTTATGTTCCTCCCAACAAATTGCAAATATTTCAGGTTGGGACTAGGCAGACTCCAGCTCTGCAGCAGCACAGCATGTATCCCTTCTTTCCCCATTTCAATCTGTGTGTCTACAAACACTGACGTGAGGTAGCTTTCAACTGGGCAGATGTATGGTCCACAATCAACATCTGTTACTACACATAATCTTTCTAAGTCCAAACTTTGGGTCATAGATTGAGGTCCTCCCCTTTACTGCCCTCCCCTCAACATTGACCAATACCCCATTCATCGCCTTGATCTAAGATTCACTTATGGTGATAGAATACTTATGACATTTTTCAGGCATATCATCATGATGTGTATGAACAGATCTCGCTTCATCTCCCAGATTGCCAAGGGGGCATTATTGTAAGCAGACCCTAGGATGCACAAAGGACCACCTAAGCCAAAAGGCAGAATAACTGAGAAGTTATATTCTCAGCCAGTGCATCCTATATATGATACAGTATGGGAACTGTAGTAATCATGCCATGATTACAATTATACACTTCAGCAAAGAAGAGAGTTTAGTGCACACCAGGATTTGTGTACTCAGCCAGATCACCTGGAAAAGTTCAACCTAGGACCATCTATGATGATGTACATAACAGATGTGGTGCCTACGGGTACCTATACTGTACCATTTCGATCAATTCGGCAGTCACATGACTTTTTTGTGTTTTCGATAAATCTCAAAAAATCGGACAAATCGAGAAAAAATTAAATCTGGGGTCAAAAAAAATCGGTGTTATGCGTTACTGCCGAATTGATCGAAATGGTACAGTATACTATGCCCTATCAGTACTTCGGCAGACCCTCTCAGTCGGCACTTTCCTGATCTCAGACTTTCCACAAAACATCTTGCCACGAAATTTGATACAGGGCCTCCTGGGTATAATCCAATCTAACTCCGCTTTTTTTCGTCAAAAAAAAACGAAGAATTGGCGAAGTTCTGTTTTTTGACCAGTCACGGTCTGTCACGTTCATCCGCCAAAAAATGTGACATTTGTGACCGCCGACTGAGAGGGTCTGCCGAAGTACTGATATAGCATAGTATCGGGGGTCAACCTAATTGTTGGGCGAGTGCAGGTGCCGTTTGGAATGCACGTGCTTTCTCCCACGACCCCGACTGTACCAGTGCATTTCACGGATTTCTCCGATGACGTCCCCCTGGTCGTGCGCATAGGTAGTCCCATTTAGCAAGAATCACGTGATCTATGTTCACGGAATCACCGCAAGGCCATATTCTTTGAGCTCACACACGACGAACAAGCACCGCCCTTCTTCCCCCTTCTTTCTGAGTTTGATACCATTCCCTCTGACGACGCACCATGTCTGCGCGCCGCCAGCCTTCAACCACTTCTCTATCCAAATATGTCCGAGCTAGCACTCCGGACTTACAACCACGATCACTTGATTTCTGCAACGCATTTTGGGGCTTGGGCGATGGTGGCGTCGATGTACTTTTTGCACGCATGCGGGGGGCTGCGAGGACGGTTGAGGAGTTGAAGAATTTTTGGAAGGAGAGGTGCGTTGGAGTAGGTTCTCAAAGCTGGTTATGGAGCTCACACACCCTTGCGTATGCTTTAGGGCAGCGATCGAGGAAGATTATGCCAAACGTTTAACCAAATTGTCGAAAATGGTTTTGGGAAGGGATGAAATTGGGTAGGTTGGGCTTTGTAGACTTGAAGTTGTAGTGCTAACACTTTCCTCTCCAGAGAATTACGCAATTCTATGAACGCCGTCAAAGTCGAGACTGAGCGCCAGTCCGGTTTCCACCTTAGCCTTGCGCAGCAAATACGCAATGATTTGGAGTCCCCCGCAGCTGCGTTTTACACGCGGCAACTCCAACACAAGAAAGTCGCCCAGGCGGCCATCGAGAAGGACTTTAAAACGAAACAGACGCAAGAGACCTACGTGACCAAAGCGCGCGAGAAATACGAAGCGGACTGCATGCGGATCAATTCATACACGGCGCAGTCATCGTTGGTACAGGGAAAGGACCTGGAGAAGATTCATATAAAACTGGAACGTGCACAACAGACTGTACAAACCAATGAGCGCGACTTTGCCAACTTTTCCAAAGCCTTGCAAGATACGGTGCACAAGTGGGAGCAGGCTTGGAAGGTGTTTTGTGATCAATGCCAGGATTTGGAGGAAGAGCGCATGGAGTTTATGAGGGACAACATGTGGGCGTATGCCAATTGTGTATCTACCGTTTGTGTTGCGGATGATGAGGTGAGTGATTGCTTATCTTGTGTTCCCCAACATACACTGACCAAGATTTGCAAGTCTTGTGAAAAAATGCGTCTTGCTTTGGAACGAATGGAGGCCGAAAAAGACATGGAAAACTTTGTACACAATTATGGGACTGGCAATCAAATCCCAGACCCTCCTGCTTTTGTCAATTATAACACATCTGATGCCGTCCCCTCCTCTTCGTCACGACCCACATTTCGTCCTGCCCAGTTTGTGCGAGCCACACAGAGAGAGCTACCTCTGCGGAACACCGTGGAGCCTGATTTGGACGAGCCAGTCGTCAACACTGCAGGGATAGGCGCTGGAGGAGGCGGGCGACGATCAGAACTTTATACCGAGCCTCCTGATCTTACTCGCAGACCCACGCAGAGTAGGGCGCAGGCCCAGCAAGCGGTATATGTCAATGGAACTCATAACAATCAACCTGCCTACGGTGCACCTGCCCCAGGGCCCACCGGGCAACCTCCTCAAAGAAAACCTACTTATGCTTCGCAGGCGCCGTCACAGACGTCCCAGCGCATCCTCCAAGATCCTCACGCCGAAACTATTGACCCTACTGCCGAAACGTACATCAAGGTAGGCAATAACGCGTATAAAGTTGACTTGTCGAAAGACCCACAACAACAAGGCCGGATTAAAGCACCTTCACCGTCTATTCGTTCCAACGCATCATCTCCAGTCAAGCCCATTGGTAACGGATCCACCACCGTTGATCCTCTCGCGAAGCAGTTGGAAGAGCTACAGAACGCGGTTTCGTCAACTGGTAGTGTTCGAAGAAACACAGTCAATAGGCCTAGTATGGCTGCACAAGCACAGGAACAAAGACCCTCCTCTCGTCCTCGTACATCTCCAGGACCTTCTACTACACTTTCTCCCCCTCCAACCAGCACAAGCCTGGCGGGCGGTTCCAACTTGCAAAGTACCAGCCCCGCCCCGGTTCGTGATTACCGTAATTCAGCAGAAGTGGTTGTGGGCACGCATCCAGCAGCAGCAGCGGCTGCATCTCGACCTGCGTCTCCTAATCCTCCCACTGCGGCGTTCATGGTTCCTAGACCCACCACGCCTTCTGGGTCAGAGGTTGTCCAAGAGGTGTTGGCTGATTATCACCAGTCTTTGCCTGGAGAGCGGAAGTCGCTTAGTCGGCAGGGTAGCAGAAGGGGAAGTTTTTCAGTGCAGCCTGGTCAGCAGAATCCGCCACAGCACCAATCTAACTTGAGTCACGGCCAGAATTTGGCGCGGCCTCCTAGTACGGGACACGCCGGAATTGGTGCGCATGGTTCACGCAGTAATAGTCCTCAACCGCAATCTCGCGGACCAAGTCCCGCGCCTGGTAGCGTAATGAACTCGTATATCGCTCCACCTCCTCAAGGAATCGTTCGTGCGCCTAGTCCAAACGCTGTGGGTATTGTGCTTGACCCCAGTGGAAGAGTGTTGCATGATGATATGGCGCATGGGTATCAACAGCAACAGCAACATCAGCAGCGGCCTCAGCAGCAGCAACAACAGCGGCCTGGCCCACCACAGCAGCAACAGATTCAGCCTCAGTATAACCCTCCCATCGTTCCTCAACAACAACAGCCGCAAGCACGCCGATCGAGTTACATGTCTGTTCCTCCCCCTCAGCAGCAAGCATATGCCGTTACACCCCCTCCACCAACACTGTACCAAGCGCCTCCACCACAAGCGAGTTACATCCAGCCTCCTCCCCCCGTTCAGCCTTCGTATACGCCTTCTCCTGTTCTGTATCAGCCTGCGCCTGTGCCCCAGCAGCAGCAGACTGCGTATCAGATGACGCCTGCACAGGCTGGTTCTTATAGTGCGGGTGTCAATGGTGTTGGTGTTGGGCGGGGTGCGCCTGGGTATTATCAGCCGCAGCAGCAGCAGTTGGCGCCTGTTCAACAGCAGCAGCAGTTGGCACCTGTTCAGCAGCAGCAGCAGCAGAGGCAGTTGCAGCCTCAGCAACGGTTGCAACAGCCTCAGCAGCAGCAGCAACTGCAACCTCAGCAGCAGCAACTACAACCTCAGCAGCAGCAAAGACAAGGAGGTTATCAGCCACAACAGCAGCAGCAGCAGCTTGGGTATCGAGATCCTAGCCCCGTAGGCCGGTCACCCTCACCTCAACCGCCTCCCCCAGGTCAAACGACGGAAGATGGTGATCAGATTCTCTTCTACGGTATCTATCACCCTCCTTTTGCTTTCTATTGATGCTGACACCACTTTCAACAGTAAAAGCGCTGTACGAATACGCTGCTACCATTGAAGAAGAGTTTGATTTCCAAGCAGGGGACATTATCGCTGTTACGTCCACCCCGGAAGATGGGTGGTGGAATGGGGAGCTCCTTGATGAAGCGCGGAGACAGCCGGGAAGGAATGTGTTCCCTAGCAATTTCGTTTGCCTTTTCTAGTTTCTTCTTTCTTTTGTGTTTTCTACCTGTCTTTTTTGTTTTTGTTTTTTTCAGCTGATGATGACTCGCGCATTTTATGATCCATCTACGATGACTACTCTTGGTATTGGAACTGACTGATCACACGACCTCTCTCTGGCATTTCCCATTGTTCCACACTCTCGTATTATTGATATCACACTTTTTTTTTTCTCTTTCTCATTGCTTTCACTCGTTCTCGCTCGTTTGTACCAGTACACGTAGTGGTGTTATGTGTAAGTAGTTCGGCGTACATGCTCCTCCATTGAAACTTTTACCGAGGGTGAGGGAATGGGGAATGGGTCTACCGGGGCGTCTACTTACTGCTCGGACCCTGCACGTCAGTCAGGTGCTATGTACAGTGCCTTGCATAATGCTTTGCAGCGTGAATTTTTTGAAATTGTATTTGGCTGTGTTTAAACTGGTCCTGAGATGTCACATTCAGGCTTATTCCGGACAGAGATCATTTCGTTGGGCCTTAGTTGTGACATATCAGGTTCACTACAAATATAATCAAATACGATTTGAAAAAATTCATGCTGCAAAGCATTATGCAAGACACTGTAAGGCTTTGGCTAAACCTGGAAACAAAAGAAGCGGAAGGGTGATATAATGTCTGGTATGGACAGTCGAAATGCTTCCTTGTCTCGCTCTCACATCGGCGTCGGCCTTGCTCATTTCTCTCTACGCGGCCAGAACACGCACATTTCGCCGACCCCCGCTTGATTGAGAGGCGTTTATTTAAATAAAGAGACAGCCCCGATCAGACCGTAAGTACGCCCGCTACTGGTGCTGTATACACACAACGTGGTCGTTTCTAGAAACGTCAACGATTTGAGGCGAACAATTACAAGAGTCGCCCACTACCACCACCACCACCACCACGTCTACTGTTTATTCTCCAATCTCTCAAGTCTTTCTTTTTTTCGAATTCGCGTTCTCACCCACCTCATAATATGCGCGCCGCCACGGATCTATACGAACACCCCGCCCTCACCTCTTCAGAAGTATGGGGAAGCTCGGACCAGACGTGCTCAGACAAGACACGCGTTTTTTCGGTGCTTGGCGCATTGTCGCTTGCTGCTGCTGCGTCGTCTGTAGCGGTGTATCAGTATTCGGGAGTTGTCACTAAATCGATACAGGGGAGGTGAGTTGTGCTTCCGCGTATGATTGGCGGTTGCTGATACGCGGTTGGATAGTCATCTATTGAGGAATCTGCTATAGCACTGGCAGCGGCTTTGCCATATCATCCATCACGTTCTATTTCTCCTCTTTTCGACCTGTATTTCTCGCCCATCTGAGACGTAGTTATCTGTTGTTGTAATTGTTGTACCCGTGTAACCTCCTCTCTCATTGAACGCACTTCAAGCTCCGAGCAGCGCCACCAACTCTCCCCATGACGTCCATCACAGCTATCCAGAGTGAACTCACTACCCCTTGCCACCAAAACTCATGTCTGTCTTCAAGATCCACCCAACAATGCAACAATATGACTGGGGCAAATCAGGCTTTACGTCCGTCGTCGCTCAGCTCGCGGCTGCGTCGGGCGTGCCGTCGTTGAAGGATATCGATGAGAGGAAGCCTTACGCTGAGGTACCCCCCTCTCCTTTTCAAATTAACATTCAATTAATGAATGCACAAATAGCTATGGATGGGCACCCACCCAACCTCCCCATCCCTCGTCCTATCCACCCATGAAACCCTCTCATCCCACCTCGCAGCCCACCCCGAACTAATGGGTCAAAAGGTGATTCGCCGATTCGAATCACAAGGCGCGGAGAGGGGGAACCTACCCTTCTTGTTCAAGATCTTGTCCATTGGGAAGGCGTTGAGTATACAAGCTCATCCTGATAAGCAAACAGCGGAGGAGTTTCATAAGAGGTTGCCGGGGATTTATAAAGGTGTGTGTTTTAGCTCATTGGATGGACGGGGATTGATGACGAGGATTGGGGTGGCATAGATGATAACCATAAACCAGAAATGGCCCTCGCCATCACGCCGTTCCGCGCTTTGTGTGGGTTTCGGCCGCTCAATGAGATAGCAGCGTATCTGCGTTCGACGCCGGAGCTCGCAGCGCTTATACCGCATGATGTCCTAACTGCGTTTCTCGACATATCATCATCACCATCCAGCAACACGCCCAAAGAGAAAAGCGCACTGAAAGCCCTCTTCGGAGCATTGATGACTACACCAGAAGAGAAAGTAAAATCCCAGCTCGACATACTCGTATCGCGGTACCACTCCACCCTTCCACCACCCAACGATAAAGAAATAGTAGATCTGGTACTACTACTATCCTCTCAATACCCAAACGACATCGGCATCTTCTGCGCCTTTCTCCTAAACCACATCCACCTCTCCCCAGGCAACGCCATCTTCCTCGGCGCAGGCGAACCGCATGCCTATCTATCAGGGGACTGCATTGAATGCATGGCTAATTCAGATAACGTCATTCGAGCGGGCTTGACTCCGAAATTGAGGGATGTGGAGAGGTTGGTGGGGTGTTTGACGTATGAGGCTGGGGAGGGGCGCAGGCATGCGGTTACCCCGAGAAAATGGGAGGGGGGTCAGGGTGAGTGGTATGATCCCCCTGTTCCGGAGTTTGCGGTGCTTGTTGGGAAGGTGGGGGAAGGGAAGGAGGAGAGGTGGGGTGTGGTTGGGGGGCCGTCGATTGTGCTTGTGTCGGAGGGGAGGGGGGAGGTTGTGTGGGATGGCAGGATGGAGGTTGGGAAGGGGGATGTGTTTTTCGTTGGGGCGGGGACGGAGGTTTTGCTAAGGGGTGGTGAGGAGGAGATGGTCCTTTATAGGGCTTTTGTGGAGGTTTAGAAGCAGGAGGAATATGGACTCTAGAAAGATTAAAAATTGTATTTTAGTTCGGACGGATTTGAATAGTGCTGTCATCTTGCGAACAATCCATCTTCCATTAGCACACAGCGACTCATAAATGACGGGGGAATACACAACAACGATTCTACAACTGTCCTATCCTCTGTTGCATCTTCTCCTTCACGGTCTGATACGCGCTCATGATCGTTTGTTCGTTGATGACTATTTCCGTCGTGTCGGGGCGCGGTCTGCTAACGCGCGAAGCGATGGCTGTGGCGTCTGTGTCTACGATGATTCTACGCCATTCAACTTCCGTTAGTCTCACACCAAGAAGAAGGAACAGAAACACCCACCCATCATCTATCGTCTCATCCAAACACAGCAGGACCAAATCCAAATTCTCCAACACCCCTCGTTTCTCCAACGAATTCCGGAGAAGCATGGTGAGCGCGTCGGTGAGGGAGGTTAGCGCCGTTGAGATCATCAGGTCGTTCTCTGTTGGGCCCGCGATGAAGTAGAGGATGAGGTCTAGGGAGTGTTTGTATAAAGCCAAGTGGGAGTCGTATAGAATTATGTCGCCTACATCCCCCCAGGTGTCAGTGTCAGTGAAATTGAATACTACTGAGAAATGGATGGATGGAAGGGAGAAGAGAACGCGACGCACCCCCAGCTTTCTTCGTCTTCGCCCACAGACCCTTCTCAAACGCCTTTTGGTCTTTCAACGTCGGCCATTCTTTGCTTTCGCCCTGAGGGTGGCTTTTTGGGCGGTAGTATTTTGCGAGTACGCGGTTGCCTTCTGTGTCGAGGATGATGAAGGCTTGGATGCTGTAGAGGGAGAGGTTCATCTGCGGGTTGGTCGTTGTTGTTGGTGTTGTTGTTGGAGGCGGCGGCGGGGGAATCAAGCTCGTTGAAGGTTATCCGTGCGCGTGAGCTTGGGCTCGACGGTGAGCTCGACGTGTTGGGAGGGATGAGCGTGGTAGGTGGCTGTGCTCATTCTCACATTTGAAGCCTCAATCTAACATCTAACATCAATCTAACATGGACACTGGACAGCGAGTTAATCGACATTGTTCCGCTATCGCCAACGCGGCCATAGAGTGGTCATCAAGAGGAAAACGAAATGATGATTCGTCAGAAGCGATTGGGGTTAAGAACGTGCGCTCTGGCTTTTTGGGAGGCGGCATTATTTATCCGTTGCTTTGCAACAGGTGCGTACATCTGTATGTATGGTCTGTAGGAGTTTTCAAGTTGACCTGGTATAGTTCAGCAGGCCTTGTGAGCAGCAGAAGATCAAGTATCACAGCACCCATAATTCTCCTTCCCACTCCGCGGCTAGAAGCATCCTCTTCTTCATTTACCATCAAGTACACACTCTACTGAAAACGCCAAGCTTCTCGCAGACGCCCCCGTCATCGTTCCTGACATCCGCCCAGCATGGAATCGCGAACCACGTTCCCCATCCTCCTGCATCCAATCCATATGGCGCACAGTCTATTTATATACCCCTCCTACACCGTACCGCTGGCCTTATAAGCTTTGGCTTTTCGAGTCTCCAAAGCACCCCCTAGGTCCAATCCCACCACCATGAGGTCCCTCTCAGGCTTGCCGTTATTGGCCTTCCTCTCAGTTCTGTCCGTGGCCAACGCGTGCGCAGACGGGGACGACCATGGGCATACCCATGCTGCGCGACATGTAACTGCACCAGCACCAGTACCAGCAAAGTTGACTCCCCCGTCGAGGCCGTTGGAGTGGGGTGATATTAACATCATCCATACTACCGATAGCCATGGCTGGCTTCTTGGGCATCAGAAATCTTCGTTCCCAGAGCCGAATTACAGGTCTGTTTGTTAGATAGATTCAGTGTGGAATGTAAAGTAAAGCTGACGGTTCATTGAACAGCGGTACCTTTGGTGATTTCGCGTCTTTTGTGTCGCACATGAAGGAAATTGCTAAAGTACGTGTTTTTTCTTCTTTTTCCTTTGCGGGTTGTGTTGAGTCTTTTTTGTTTAGAAACGCGATGTGGACCTTTTGTTGGTTGACACGGGTGATCTCCACGATGGTGAGTCGTTTGTTCACTCCAGATGCCTATCTGTCTTCATGCATCTACGAAGGAACTGGCCTTATCGACGGATACCCTGCCGGCGGCATAGACGCTCATGATGTGTGTACCCCCTTATTGCCTGTGAAAATAACTTTCTGATCGGTTGATTCATAGGCGAACGAGTTCTTCAAAAAATTGCCTTATGACGTTCTTGCCATTGGAAAGTATGTCATTTGCTCAAAGTATTTTCAACTTAAATGCTCAAGGAACGTTTCAGCCACGAGCTGTACACCTACAACAATACTCTTGACATGTACGTTCTCTCTACATACGCTAGCCCATGGGTTCTGACCGGTGGCTCGGAAATAGGTACAAGAACTTCGCACCGAGGTTCAATGGACGATACCTCTCCTCCAACGTCAACATCACCGTTGTGAACGAGCATGGTCAACTCCAAAGTGTCCCTGTTGGCAGTAAGCATTCTCCTCATACGTGCACTTGAAAAAAGAATCTCAATCAAAGCTTCGCAAATGTAGGCCGTTTCGCAAAATTCAAGACGAGGAAGTACGTTTTGCCCCGTTTTTCACGGCCGTTATTCGTCGATTGATAGGGTGATTTTATAGAGGCAAACAAGTCACTGCCCTCGGCGTTCTCTACAATTTCACTGGGAACGACAAGAATACCACTGTTCAAAAGGTGGCGGATATGGTCAAGGAAGCTTGGGTATGGCCTGTCATTGCTCAGTGGAAGCCAACTCATTCATTTGCGTCGTTTATGTAGTTCGCTGATGCTATCAAAGCCGAGCCTGACTTTTTCTTGCTCACTGGGTTAGTCTTGATCTATGTGTGTGTATTGCCTTTTGGAGGACTCAGGTCTTTGGAACAGACATATGCCTATTGCCCGTGACAATTGTAAGAGAACATTGGTACGCTTGCGTGTTCGCTGACGTTTTGAACTTTCAGGGCCACTTGTGTACAATGCCATTCGTGCCATTCATCCCCTTACGCCTATTCTTATTCTTGGTGGTGAGTGCTTCCTCTGTGCAATGTTGAAGAACTCGAGGGGTAATGATGTTTGTAGGGCATACCCACATTCGCAATTGCCGTAAGGATTTTGTTTGGTTTGGTTGGAATGCATCAGCTGATATTGAGAATATGCTCATAGTTCAGATGGATGGTCGCTCGATGTCGTTGGAGAGTGGACGATACATGGAAACCATTGGTTGGATGAGTAAGTTTGTTATTTTAATACGCTTTCTTTCATACTTACACGCACGAAGGCGCCAAGCTTGATAAGAAAGGAAGCACGAAGAACATTACTTTCAGCAGGCGATACCTCGATCCAAATCGTGTCACATTCGAGGTTCGTCAGCTCACGTATTTCAGTCAACGTTTAAGAGCTCATGTTTGTATAGTACCATACTCAACGCAATGTGCACAACTTTGACACCTCCAGCGGCCAATCCATCGATTCTGGCCTTGAGAAATTGTCAAAGAAATTCGACTTGTCTTTCCAGTTTGGAACGGCACCTCATGATTTCACAATCAGCCAGTATGTCTCTTTTCGTTGAGCACACCCAAGGACGTTTGCTAACAAAGATATCGGCAGGTCGCCATACCCATCCAACAACTCCTTGCTTTCATTGTTCATCGAGAACGTACGTCGTTAGCGCCTTGGCGTGTCCGCCCAACTGACCTTTTCGCAACCAGGCCGTCCCAGTCGCGCTGGCCATCAACAACACCCGCGCCTCCATCCCCAACATTATGATCACCAACTCTGGCTCCCAACGCTTCGACGTCTACGCTGGCCCTTTCACCAAGAACGACCAACTCACAGCGTCGCCCTTTGCCGATGCGTTCCTGTACATCGCCGACATACCTGCCTCCATCGCCAAGCAGGTTCTCCCGACTTTGAATAAAGCTGGCTCGAACCAGCGACGCGAGTTGGAGGAGAGGGAGCGGGAGATGTATGGGAGGGGACATGTTGATACGGTTTATATGAGGTGGTTGGAGGAGATGGATAAGAGGAATGATGGGATTGATAGGAGGGCGGCTCAGAACCTTACTCTGGGATACGTCACTGCGGATGTACGTCTTTTCTTTTCTTTTCTTTTCTCCTCGTCATCACCCATATCAATTTTTTTTCTTAGAGCTGTCCAGGCGTAGGAGACGACACCCCTCACGCCCCACTACCCTTCTTCTCATCCCCACCCTTCATCGGCTCGCAGGTCCCGAACGTGTCTGACGATACGCCCATTGACCTTGTCTTTGTGGACTTTATTCAAGCGCAGCTGTTGCAGATTTTGAACTCGGTGCAGACGAGTAAGAGTTATACTACGGGGGATGTGAAGACGTACAGTCCGATTTTGGCAAATGCTGCGCTTGGGTTGTATGCACAGAAAGTTTGGAATTAGATACTGATAGCGTCACGTTTGTCCTTCGGTGGAATGTATATATTGAGTCGTCGCGTCGTTTGACAATCTTAAAACGAGAGGGTCTATTTACTAATAGTCCTCTCATCGTAAATCGTTGAAACTTGTAAAAGCAAAAAGTAGTTAAGTATAGCAAGCGGCACTGTTTAACGAGTGCTCGTCAATTGTTGTGGAAGACAATAAAATCACGATTGACATTGTGCCAGTTCTAGTTGTAAATCACAACATGAATCGGTCAAGCTGAACTACGATGTGGTCAATCGCAAGTAACATAGTCAGACCTCCTGGCTTTGCCGACCTTGGACCTTGAGAGTCGCGTGTAAGTATATTGATGTCGTTCACTTCTTCGGCTCAAACCCGATCAGCTCCGACGTTAGAAAAAACCACACCACCAGATACTAGCAGATACTGCTACTGAGATCTGGACTTAAAGATGCTACGCTCACCTTGTTCGTAGGAAGCTCACTTTGGTCTGCCCCTTGATTTTGCTGACATTCCAGAAGTTGTTGTACTGGAAACTGTGGCGATGTTGCAATGATAGTCTTGCGAAGTTTATAAGAGTATCGATGTTTTATGATAAATGAGACCAGAGCTCCCTTCTTGACAAAAACTCTAATGTCTTGTGAGTAAAAAGTCATATTTGAGATTGATTTGAGAATGTATGTCGGACCTAGGTGAGTTTTCATTCCAAGTGGGATTAGAACTTAGGCAGAAGTCTATTTCCAAAACCTTTTCGTGTACGCCGGAGATTTGGACGTTGACCGATGCATGAGGAATCGGGTTTCCTGGCAGCGAGAGGCCCTGCGCAGTTAAAACTGTGCTTTCGTAAGGTATATGGTTTGTAAAGTGGCAGAATGAGACACTCACTCTGAATTTGGATAGGAATTTTGTCATCCCCGTGTTGAATAGTCGAGGCGGACCGGCAACTCCGGTATGCCGATCCCGTGCATACGCGCACGTACTAGTCTCATATAGGACACTGTTAGTGTTTGAAAGTCCGGTTCGGTCCGGTTTTTTGATGCCCAGGGGCGTTAACCGTAACCGTAACCAGTCTACCTTTTCCCCAGAAGTCAAAAGACCAGACCGGACCGCAAAAAGACTGCAGACTGCGGTTTTTTGCAGTCTATAGACCGGTTTCGGTCTGCATCGGTTTTAACCGGTTTATGACCGGTCTTTAGGCCAATATTTTAAAATTATGAATCGGTAAATTTATTAACATCTCTAATAGCTTCAAAACGAGCCCAAGAACGTTAAATTCCGTTAGGAATTGGTGCTTCTATAAAATAAGTCTGGTACATCTATTATTCCCAAAAGTAATTTACATTTTAATTCATATCTCTCTCATTTTTTTACAAAATCGTACGTTCTTGGGTGCGTTTTAAAGGGTATTTAAGGGGCTACAAAAGACCAGTTCACGTTAACCGGTTTTTTTGCGGTCTTTACATTGCAAAAATAAAAGACCGTAACCGCAGGTCCAGTCTTTTGCAGTCTTGGTCCGGTCTGGTTACAGTCTTTTTCCAGTCACGAGACTGGACTTCCAAACACTAGAAACTGTAGATAGTTATAGTAGTTTGTAGTACATTCTAGTTACATATGTTTGTAGTATATAAGGGGGACTGAGAGTCCCCAAATTCATTACCTTCTCACTTAACCACTACCCCTCGTACTCGCTGCTCCAACAGGTTATGGGTCCCGAGCCCTAAACATACTACACACACTATACAAAACTTTATCATACTGCTATATCACCACGTCACAGACTTTATCATACATGATACCCTATCACACATTACCCTGTCAATTACATAGCAGCAAATGGAGACCAATAATGGATCATCAAATGTTTACCGGATTGAACTGCTTAAAGGCGCGGACAATTAAGTGGTATGGAAAATCAAGATGATGGACATCTTGACAGATCAGGGTCTATGGGAATATGTGGATCCCGGAAGGGCGCCATCAGATGCCAACCAGAAACCAGCATGGGATAAGAAGGACCGGACAGCTTTATTGACGATAAGATTGCAGGTAGCCAATAAACTATTGGTTTATGTATCTAGTGCAAAAACGTTGAAAGAAGCTTGGGATACG